ATCGAATTCTGGGATCCTGATGTCTTGATTAATGTCTAGTAGCTCTAATCACTGAGACAACAAAACAAAATTCGGTTCAAGCTGATTCTTGGGTCCGTAAATTATCCGTGCATTTGATATTGAATTGAATGCACCAAACAACTCATTAATGCAATGTTCCCAGGATACAAAAGTTAGATCAACAACACAACAGGGGGAACTAACTTTCCGTGTAATATGACATGATCTAGAGATGACAAAGTGATTACAAATAAAGAATTTTATGTTATTGCGTGTTCGACTATAAGGATTATGGGATTTCACCGAGGACCTTAGATATGTTGGGACCTTGATTTCGAACTTTTCAGGTTTTATCTCGAGTCATTACCCAGCCATTTGCAATGTCCCATCAATGCCACTATGACGCAACCCGCTTGAGAAAATAAAAAAAGTGATGTATTACTATACAATAGAATTAAATTACTAGTTAAAATTGCCCACCGAAGAGAACATTTTCCTCTACAGCTTCTCTGAGGGCTTCGCAATTGTTTCCAACCGTGACAGTGTGAACTCTATTTAGAGAAGCTGAAGTACTCAAGGTTACTCGTCCTTAATACAATCATCTTTAAGACAGAAAAATTAACTCATTATGTCTCCCATTTTGTCTATAGCTTATAATGGAAGTATTTTACTTACAGTTACGCCCAACCCACTTCTCCATCGTCCCGCGCTGTCACAATCCCGTCTCGTGCTGTCCCCGTTTCCATCCATATCCCCGCCCCGTCCGTTCTGACACGCTCCGTACCTCCTCTCCCTACCGCGCTCCGCCCTGCACCGCACCTCTCCCCCCCCCCCCACCAGCACTACGCCGTCCAGCATTGCAGTTCCCCGCCTCGCGCTGCGCCTCTCTCACGTCCTCTCCAATCGTCTCCGCGCTGATACGCTCGGTTCCTTACTGCCCTGCCCCGCTCCGTATCGCCGCGCTCCACTCCTCCTCTCTCGTCTGACCCGGTTCCGCTCTCCCATGCAGTGCATTGCAGTGGTTTAGCATTGACGGTTTAAATAAAGAATAAACAAACAATAATCCTTTTTATATAGATTACGTTTTCGATTACCAGTTTCCTTTCATGTTTTAAAGCGATGTTCAGAAGCTTAGAAGCTTTGGCATGGTGAATTCGCGTTTCGAATCCGTGGTTCTGTTCCCGAGCCGTGCGCCCGCCATTTGCAATGTTCGTCAGCACCGAGGCCGCGCGCAGAGAGCGCCGCTCCCCGCAGCGGCGGAGGCGGCGCGGACGTGAGCTGCCTCCCGGCCTCGGATAATTGCGGGCCTCGGCCTCCCCCAAAGACGCCGATTCCTCTGACCTTTGCGGTGGCGCTAACTCGGTTTGCGCCTCGCGCTAAAGAGCGCTCGTTTGTTTCCCACGTTGCTTTCGACTAGTTTGGCCAGTCATCAAAGAGTTCTGCGGTTCCCGTTTGGAAATTAGTGCTATTCTTTGGTTTCTGTTTCAGTTTTGCTGAAATCTTCCAGGGTGAGTTCAGTCTTGATTCGAGGTCTTTATTTCTACCTTTGCAGTGCTCTTTTAATATTTCCGGCCCCTGAGTGTTCGTGCTCATGAGTTCAGTACATTTATGTTCTCGATGAAAATTCGTAGAAATGGAATCGAATGCCAAATATATCAAAAAGTGCAGGCTGAAATAAATTTTTGCCAATCTTTCGTATCAAAAACTTAGTAACGACATTATCGCCGGCTAGATAAAAATTATTTTAAAGGCTAAGGATTATCTTTTTTAGCTAACAAAAGGAATTATCTAATCAGGAGTGTCAAGGTCGCAGGCAAGTTAACAAGCTTACTGGAGTTCGCGGGAACTGCATCCAGAACAACTGATGCAAGATTTACAAAAAGGTTTCTACAAATTGCTCCAGGGTGGCGACATGTCACTGGATACCTGGCCCATGACAGTCTTTGGGAGACGCTACATGACAGTTATTGTAAACATGACAAATTTATTGTATAAATTCCCACTTTCTTTGAAAGCAAAGAAATTATTCATTAAAATGAAACAATATATCAGTCCAATTTCAAAATTGCTATTGGGAGTAAAATTTAAAAGAAATTGAATCAAAAGTATCTTCATTTTGTAATCCCGTGAGCGATATACTACCTGAAGAGCGATATAAAATTATTAACTTTCTACTTTCAAGTGAGGAGGTTTAACAGACAAATATTATTGTATGCTCAAAGCGCTGTACGTCAGTAAGACAGAATTGTTAACTTAAAGAGACTTTTTAATTTATTTCACATTATTACTAAATACAATAAATAACTGAAATATTTTATGACAAAACACAACGAAAACAAGGAAAGAATTCGACATTCATACATTTTCTGTCACTTACCTAAGATGTTTATGCAAGGAAAAATGTAGTAAGAAAATAAACATGAAACAGTTATAAGACGTGAAGACTATACACATAATGCAATTCTCGGTTATTTAATTGAAAAGTCTGGCAAACATATTTTTGTATGAAACCACTCGTCGCCGCCTCGTGTCTCTTCAGCTTGCGCACGTACTCCCCTTTCAGGATTGGGATGAGAACTACCGCAAAGTCAGGGGAAGTTGCCCGTGCCATATTAACTCGCAAGAACTATGAGCATGGACGTCAAATCATGCCCTTTACAAGGTGAAAAAGATAAAATGTTCGAAAACGAAACGTTGATACATATAATTTTACATACCGTACTTTCATGTCTAAGTGTTTAAATAAATGTTTTCTTACGACAAAACTCATTTGTCTATACCCTAATATTTCCTTATTAAAAACTTGGAAGTGCAATGTAGCACCTGTACTTGACTCACGTCATCACCAATACGATGAATACCATTAAAAACAGTAACACAATCTGCATCAACTTTCGAAAATGAACTACCTTTGTTACCCTTCAACGCACACTGAAGACACCAATTTATTGATTATTTATGATTTATTGATTTATTTGATGGCCCAATTCTGATGTCGGTAATTTAGCAACAGTTATTAAGCCATGTATAGCGCAGACAGTGTTTCAACCCTATCTCACGATGAGACATCGGAGAGGCAAGGAAATTCCACCCTCTCGACATACCGCGCCTTCTGTGACCTCAAATTCTCGGGGAATGTTTTAATAAAGGCTGGCGAAGTCACCCGGCGGCGACTAGGACCAATTCTCAACGGAGCATGTGTGGGAGCCCATTGGAGTTTGGGGACATAACGAGTTAATGAGGTATACGATAGGCAAGAATTTCTTTACCGGGCTGAGGAACCAGCCTTTGCGAAACTGGGTGCTAATACTGAGTACCAAAACTAACCGTGGCCTCTCCGAGGAAACAACCTGAGGGGTCATTGAATTCATTTAAAATACAAACAAAAATGATCAAGGGCAGTATCTAAACATTTTGATATTTTATCCAATTGGTTGAAAACATCTAACTTCGATGCAGTTTCATAAATGATTATAATATTACGTTCATTATTGTACCATACAATTTATAAATTAAACTGATAAGTTTTACTGGAATATGAAGTTGTAGAAGTATGAAGTTTTATGAAAATACAACAATAAATATCTTCTGTTATATATATCATAAAATTATATTTTGTAAAAAGAATATTGTAAGTCATTCCCCTAACATTCCATCTTTAACTTTCCATCTGCACATAAATTATTTCGAACAAACGGAAAGACAGACAAAAATAGAAAAAAGCAATTGATTTGTTATTATATCAACTAAATAAGCATATGAGATAAAAGCGTTGTTTTGTAATCAAAGATCTTTAATTTAACTTACATGAAACATAATTTCAGCTTTCTTAAAATTCTGAATATTACGTTATGAACATTATTTTAAGACCAGGTTGATATGTTTTAAAATGGCATGACAAACCGTACCCGCATGAGTTGCTTGCGCAGCAGGGACGCCCGGTGTTCCTGCGAGGACGCGTGTCTTCCCCTGACTCCGCTCTCATTTCTCCTCCGAATTCAGAAAGGGGTGTCCACGCTCAAGCTGAAGCGGCGTCAGGAAAAAAATAGTGACTTTATTGAAACATGTTGGCCAGATTTGTTCTAGCAAACAATCGATTATGTTATTTTCTATGTATTACTATTATATGTTGATTTTTTAAATTTTGCCTTATACAAACATTATTTGCCAAGTGGCAGGAATATGTTTTAATGGCGAGTTATTTTCTTGTTTTCGTTGTGTGTTATATTTTATTAAATCATTCAGCCTGTTTAATGTTTCGAAAGTGTTAAATAAATTAACAAGACTCTGTAAGTTGACAAATCTTATTTCCAGCTGTATTGAACTTAAGACGTTAATGCAATTATTACACTCCTAAGTAAACAAGATTACAAAATCAAGATACATTCGACTTATATTTAATTTATGTTAAAATGTATAATTTTACTCTCAATTCACAATTTGAAACCTGACCGATGTATTGTTACATTTCAATGGATCATTTCTTTCCTTAAGTAGAAGTAATAGGAATTAATATACTTTTTGGGACAATTTCTTTTCACTGATTTTTCCAAAAGACTGTCATTGGCCAGAGATGCATTGACATACCGCCAATCCGGAGCAATTTGTAGTCCCTATTGTTTTAAATTTCGCGCCAGTTGCTCCGGACGCAGTGGCCACGAACACTAAAAAGCTAGTTACTTTGCATGCGACCATGATGTCTTTTATGAATAAAAAGCAGTGAAAATATATATTCTTTTTTTTTACCTTTCGGGTGAAAATAACTACATATCTATGCGCGATTGCATCAGTACATTACAAATTGCAGGGCTTATTTTTCTCTTTGGAAGTTTTTGGTACGTTTTCTTAACCTCCTTTAATCGCTTTTCGAATCAAATTTTTGTTGATGTAACTGAGATCGCTAATGATTATATAGTCATAAAGCGACCTAAAATTAATAAATATGTAGTTTTTCAATAATCGTTTCCTCACTTTCCTTACAATTTTGACATTCCATCATTTTAAACATGACGTTCATGTTCCAGCCTGATCATTAGTGTCGCCAACCTTTGGGTGACCATCACCTTCGGTTCAGTCAGCCGCTCCGAGTCCAGTCCTCGCCTCCCGGGAGCCAAGTGGGCTGCCGGCACAATAAAGTACCTGGAATTTCAATTCAACATGTCAAAATCTCATAATTCATTCCATTCTTCATACTCTTCCTACTGCCTCCAATTTCATCTTTACCTTGGTACTTTTGGGATGGTTCCTTCGTAACCATCCTTTCCATCCCTGTTGCGTGTGGTGACTTTACCGATCGACCCACGCTACACTTCGTCATCTACTTATCGCTCCCCACACATTCTTCATCATCATTCATCGTCTTTCGATTGAACCGTTTATTTGAAAACTCCACCAGTTTAATACATCCTTACATTTGTTTCAAATTCTTTTTCATAGTCACTTCATCTCTTCTATCGCCCTTGGATTCTCTTCTCCTCTTCGACGTTGCCTCGGTGCCCTCCGTTCTTCAATCACAAATGCTTTCGTTGCCTTCTTGTTCCCATGTACACGCTTGTTGTCGCTGTCCTCTTTCTTGTATTTGCGTGATGCAGTCCTCATCGCGACCTCAGACGTTCATCGACATCACCATTCGTCGTAACCGTAGCCTGCCCTGTCACCTTCCCACCACTCCTCACTTGTCCTCGCTGATCACTGCTACCGTCCTTCCGTTGCACAACCATCTTATCGCTATCCACGTGACTTTCCCTATAGTTTAGGCTTTCCCCAGACACAGACTTCGTTTTCCTGTCCTCATCGCTTCTTTTTCAACCTGCAGAGACGCAAAAAAAAAACAGAAGCCTAGAGATAGATTTGCAGGGTCCCTTATTGCAAACAAAATGTCTGTCAATCCCCTCAAAACATTAACAGAATTAATTTCTCTATTCAACACAAATAAATTAGAATGGCTAATTTGAATTAGAAATAAATACTTTTTTGTATTCAAAGGAAAAATCGGGGCTTTAATTGCCAGTGGGACTGGGACAAGTAGCCCTTGCCTCCCTTCCTTGTGGGTGTCCCTGCCAATCTCACGCCGCAACGATTGCGGGCCCACGTTACCCTGAGCTTGTTTCCATCTTCATTGAACCCGCTTTACTTTTATTTTCACCGTCCCTTTTGCCCTCATTTTCACTTCGCACCCCTTCTTTTCGCCGTCCTCTTAGTTGTCTTCTCCCTCTTCTTCCTTGCCGGTCTCGTCGCCGTTCTCATTGCCGACCTTGACGACATCAATACCCTTCTCGTCTCCGTTTCTATCGCCATCCACTTTGCCGTCACCTTCGCTGACCTCGTCGCCTTACCCGTTGTCGCAGGCGTTGCCTTCCTCGTCACCCTCGTCACTGACCTCGTTCTGGATCCTCGCTGGCGTTCTCGTTTCCATCCTGAGCGCCGTACTAACTGCGAGCCGCTGGTGCCTAGCCTGGATAGCGCCGTCCGCCGTGCGCCCCTCCGCGT